TATTTATTTAACTTTATTATTACTATTTTTTGAGATTGAGAGAGGAAGAGAGAGAGAGAAAGTGACAAAGCAAGCCACCAGGTCCAGGACTTTAACGTGTTTTAGTATCTGTTTTAGAATGAAATAATTCATTCTCTCATAATTGCCTTCTAAAAATATATATATTTATTAATTTTAGCAATCAAAATGCCACAAAATTGAATATTTCTATAGACCAACATAATATTGTCATTCTAATACCTGACATAGTTTAAAGTTAATATTGAGCATGTGAGAGTCCAGTGCTTTAACCGCCATGCCACCTGCTGGCCCCATGAAGTTTCTTTTAAAATTTTTACTGATTTCCAATTTAAGTATTAAATATGAGAAATTCTTATTCAGTTGGTACATAAAATAGTTCTTTAGAGGGTGAGTTACATTCTAGCTATTTTATTTCTAGTACTTATATACAGACTCACTTTTGGTTTTCATTTAATATTAACTTTATTTCATTATTTTATCTGTTTTAAGACACTAAAATAGACTCATTTTGAAAACATCTTCTTAAAACTTTTTATTTATTTATGTATGTATTTTTAGAGGTTTTTGCCGTAAGGTGTGTGTGCTCACCAGAGAGAAACAGAGACAGTGAGAGGGAAAGTGAGAAATTCCCCACCCCCAGGGGGCTGGCTGCTCCGCAGTCCCTTCTCCATTCTCTTCCTGGGATCTTGGGCACACACACAGGCGCCTGGTGTGATTTTCAAGCTATGGGCCTGGGACCTGAACCGTGGTCAGCTATGTGGGAGTCCTGCGATGTAACTACTGCACCATCTGCTGGCCCTGAAAACAACATTTTAAACATATAAAAATGTAAACGGAATCAGCCTAAATGCCTTGCTTACTTAGTACATAACCTATATAAACACTGGGAAGTTTACTCACAAGATAGGTACTGCGTTCAGTCAGAAAAGGATGGTGTAGGTGCTGTGACTGCGTCCGTTTATAGCTCAGTGTGGTAAAAACAGCTGGATCACTACTCTGGCATTGTTCAAAACCTAGTTAATAGATCAGTTATCTAATTGGCCAGTAATATTCAGAAGCCCAGTTGTTCTATTGTATATAGTGCTTTATATAAACAAGCTTATATATACTTGGCTTTGGATATAATATCCAAACCTGTTAATCGAGCACTATTCAAGGAGCCCTAGTTACAGTCTGTAAGTTTTATAGCTAAGCCATGCCATAAATATTTATGAGCACCTGCTCTGTGGAAGGGCCAAACCAGGTCCTAGGAAACACAAAGCTGAGCCCTGGCATCAAGTAGCAGAAATCTCATATGGGAGATGAGAAGTAAAAAGAATTATGTTTGGTGCCAGCAGGTGGCATAGTGGTTGAGGTGCTGGACTCCCACGTAGCTGACCACAGTTCAATCCTGGACTTGGTGGCTAGCTTTCTCACTTGCCCTTTCTCTCTCTCTGGTCAAATTAAAAAATAACAACAAATAAAATTAAATAAATAAATAATTATTCATAAGAAAAGAAAAGGCACAGAGAAGCACTTGTGGTATTTTATAAATGGAAGCATCACTTTTGTGTGTGTGTCGTAGGTATGTTTGGGGCTGTTTTTGTTTTTTGAAGACAGGGTCTCCCTGTGTCACAGCCCTCCTGTTTCAGTTTCCCCAGGAACCAGGACCACGTGTTGCCCACACTGGCCACAAGCCAGTGTTCTTCCTGCCTCAGCTTTCCACCACTGTGGCTAGTTTTTTAAGGCTTGAATGGGAATCAAACCTGGGCCTCTCATGTGGCCTAAGCCTGCCAAGAGTAGCAGTGTCAACTAGCACACTACCTTGACTGAACCGGGAAAGATCTCTTGGAAGGTGCTGGGGAAATATAATTTGAAATTGTTGGAGAATGAGTAAATAGGATTTTGGTAGGCATAAAATTATGAAGAGAACTGCTATTTGAATCCCTAAGAAGGATTAAGAAAAGAGCCAGAATGGTTCTTACTCTAGATTGTTTTAGATAGTCTTTTGTATCTTGAAGTAAAAGTTAGGAGAACCTTTACATTTAAATTATTTTTATTTCTTTAGATACAGAAGACAGCATGAATGATCATGAAGATACAAATGGTTCAAAAGAAAGTTTCAGAGAACAAGATATATATCTTCCTATTGCAAATGTGGCAAGGATAATGAAAAACGCTATACCTCAAACGGGAAAGGTAACGTAGAAGAGAAATTTATAATAGATTTTTGGGGGACAGTGTAAAACTACATGAGTGCATAGTTCATGAATACAGTTAGCTATTGATTTTAGTCAACAGAAAAATCAGAATATTTCAGAAAATATTCAGATTTCAGAAAATCAAATATTTTTTTCATTTCTATATATTTACTGCACAGTATTCCATTTTCAGTTCTGTCCTGTCCCCAAAATGTTCTTCTCACTGGAAACAGATAAATTAGGATTAAGAATCTTTTTAAAAATAGGCGATATTGTCAGGACCAGCAGAGCATAATGGTTGCATTGCTGGACTCCCACATAGCCGACCCTGGTTCAAGTCCCGGACTTGGTGGTTTAAAAACTCATGCTTGGGCACATGTTTGTACAGGCCCAAAATCTCAAGAGGAAAATGGAGGAGAAGGGATTGAGGCATGGCCATCTCCCCTCGAGGGTGATTTCTCTTTTTCTGTGTCTTTCTCTGGCGAGTGCATATGCCCTATAGCAAAAATCTCTTTAAAAAAAATTATAAAAAATAGATGAAAATTTTGATATTTCTTATATTGCAGAATCTGTGTCATTTTATGACAGCTTATAAAAGAACTTATGAAAGTAATAATGTTTACAAGTAACTATACAATAAAATACATGACTGATTCTGGAGGTCCAATTCAAGAAGTCCTCCTTACGTTTTAAGGAAAAAGAAGTGTAACTGCTGATGTCATTCAAATAGTCTAGGCCTGCACTGCCCAGAACTGGAGCCACAAAACCACATGGCTCCCAGGGACTTGAAATGTGGATAGTCTGAATTAAGATCTGCTGTAAAAATAAAACACCGATTTTAAAGACTTAGTATTGGGGGCCAGCAGGTGGTGTGATGATGAAGGCACCAGACTCCCACATGGCAGACTATGGTTTGAATCCCAGACCTGGTAGTTTGCTTTCTCCCTTTCCCACTCTCTCTGGTCAAATTATAAAAATAATAATGATGAATAAAATTAAATTAAATAATTCTTTATTTAAAAATAAAGACTTAGTATTAAGAACAGAATTAAACTATTTTTAACACAAGGTTTTTAAAATTTAACTATATTTATTCATTCATTCATTTATTTAGAGGGACAGAGAGAGAGAAAGTGAGAAAATAAGCTATCGTGTCCGGGACTCGAACTGCAAGTTGGCCACGTGGGAGTCCAATGCCCTTAACTACCACACCACTGCCCAGCCCCCAGAATTAAAATATCTTATTTTTAAATAATTCTATACTTACATGATGATAATTTAGATCTATTGCGTTAAATAAAATACAAAAATTCATTTCACTTTTTTTCTTGTTTTAACATAGCTACTAGAAAGTGTAAACTTAGGTACATGGAATTATACTCTCTTGCTTGACTGCATTTATGCAACTCCTTTCCTTTTCCTGTATGTAAAGTAGGCAGAGTGGTGAAAGACAGTGTGTCTGAGTGTCATTGCTGTTACAAGTGACTCTCAACTCTATGACTAAACCATTAGCGGTTCACTTTGAGACCTCACACCCTTAAGGCAAGAATTGTTTTGATATGAGGTGGCAAGTGCATGCTTTAAAGAAGCAGGCCTTTTAGTAAATTCAAAAACCTGTCACCTGACTGTTATATCTTTAATAGTAAAAAAGTTAAAAGAATCACGTTATTATGGACCCCCTTTCTAAGCCTTAAATGAATGTTTTTTTAGAATTATTTATTTAATTTTATTTATTCATTTATTTTAATTGGACCAGAGAGAGATACACAGAGAAAGAGGAAGGGAAAGTGAGAAAGTAAGCCACCAGGTCTGGGACTCAAACCGTGGTCAGCAGTGTGGGATTGTCCAGCACCTTAACCACCACGCCACCTGCTAGTCCTCCCAGTTTTTGAGTTTGTGTTTTGCTTTTTGGTTTTGATTTTTCTGGTGTCCTTATTTGTGAGAATACTAATGCAGAGAATAGTTGTAGCTAAGCCTGCAGCCATCATTCTGCATCTGTACAGGACAGGATCGGTTTTCCCAGGGCACTTGGTTAGAAAGAGTTTTCATCTTGTCGGGGGGAGTAGGGCATCTGGTGGTTGCTTTTTTAATATTCAAATGATATCTGTTTTCTTTATATAGTTGCCAAGGCCTCTTACTTGTATTCAAACATTTATTCTGACTCTGAGGATGAGATTTTGATGACACATATTATGTTAATCTTATTAACATAGATGTCAGAGATTAAAGGTTAATAGTCATAAACTGAAAGATAAGTTGTTCTGAATAGCATTTTATTTTTGCAGGCTGTTAGGAAGGTGACGGTTATATTCTCTGTGAATTTACCTATGGTTTTTCTCCTCAGATTGCAAAAGATGCCAAAGAATGTGTTCAAGAATGTGTGAGTGAGTTCATTAGCTTTATAACATCTGAGGCAAGTGAAAGATGTCATCAAGAGAAACGAAAGACAATCAATGGAGAAGATATTCTCTTTGCCATGTCTACCTTAGGCTTCGACAGCTATGTGGAACCTCTGAAATTATACCTTCAGAAATTCAGAGAGGTAAGGAAGATGCCTCTTGCTTTTAAGAAAATTAATTATTGGGAACCAGCAGTTAGCGTAATGGCTATGTCACTGGACTCCCACATAGTCGACTGCCGTTCGCATCCCGGACCCGATGGCTTAAACTCACGCCAGGCGCATGTGCGTGCGTGCCCAAGATCCCAAGAGGAGAATGGAGGAGAAGGGATTGCGGCGTGACCATCCCCCCTGGGGGGTGATTTCTCGCTTTCTGTCTCTATGTCTGTCTCTGTCTGTCTGGCGAGCTCACGCGCCCTATAGTGAAAACCTCTCTAAAAGAAAAAAAAGAAAATTAATTATTCACTTTCAAAATGTATTATTTCTTTAAAGAATTCATTCTATAGTAAATTACATAACATTTCTCAGAAATAGTATATAATTGCTTATATTATGGTATAATTATGGTATAATATAAGCAATTAAATTGCTTGTGTTTTTTTTCCTTTGTTTATACTAACTGCAGCAGAGTTACATAATGATTCCAGATTCTGACTACCTGGAGGCCGAATCCCATTTTCACTGCACACGAACTCTGTGACATTGGGCAGGTTATTTAAGCACTTTAGACCCTGGCTTCCTGTCCGTAAAGTGAGGCTCATAGCACCTACATTGCAGAATTACTTGAAAGGATTAAGTAAATGAGGTTCAGTGCCCAGTAACAGTACTTCTTCTGTTGCTGTTATTAATTTAAAAGAGTTAGCATCTCTAAGTTTGGAACTTTTTAGATAATAAAAAGAGGAAGTTTTACTATATCCTTTTCTTCTTCTTCCTTCTTCCTCCTCCTTCTTTTTGTAATTGCCAGAGTGCTCACCAGAGGGAGGGAGCAGGAGAAAGTGCTCCCCATGTGGCATGGTCTCTTTGTTTCTCCATCCTGTTGGGGTTTGGGCAAGCAGGTACCATGCATCTTGGGGGATGTGTTTTTTAGGCTTCTAGGTCTGGGATTTAAACCGTAATCGCCATGTAGGAGCAGGCTCCCTTAACCACTAGGCTATAGAGCTAGCTCCCTTTCTTATTATTGATCTTTGCCTATGGGTATGAAACCTGTAAAAATGAGTTGAGGTTAGCATATTTCCACATTGAATGTCAGATTTACTTTGCTTTCGAATATATTCGTAATATCTCCCATGTTAGAATTGCATTAAATTAGTGATATCTGCATGGAATGACTAAAGTAGGAAGAAAATAGATAAATTCTTATAGTACTTTATCAAATCTTCAGTATCATAAAAGTTTAGAGGTTTTATTTATTTTGAAAGATTTTTGCTATAGGGTGCTGTGCTCGCTGGACGGACAGACAAAAAGTAAGAAATCACACACCCCAGCCCCCAGGGGGAGATGGCCACACCACAATCCCCTCTCCTCCATCCTCTTAAGGATGTTGAGCACACATACACACACATGTGAGTTTTAAGTCGCTAGGTCCAGGACTTGAACCACGGTCAACTAGGTAAGAGTCTAGTGACATAATCATTTACACCATGTGCTGGTCTCTAGAGGTTCTATAATATGGACTCATAGAGATCTTTGGTCCAAACTATAATTTTTATTTAGGGAGAATTTTTTTTTTTTTTTTAATGAGAGAGAACATATGGGTATGGGAGGAGGCGGGAGAGATAGAGGTTGGTATTTTTTTTTTGACGGGGTCTCACCATCATGCTCTTCTTCCCCAGCCTCCCAGTTAGTTAGGATCACAGGCATTACTACCATACCTGGCCTGTTCAGGGTGGCCAGGGGCCTGAACACAGACCTCCTGTGTGGTCCCAGCCTCACTCAGTGGTTCTTTACCACTACAGTTGGGTCTACTTAGGAATTTTAAGTCTAAACTTCTGCTACAGTACTGCCCATTTGACTGAGAGCAATACACATGGGTAAGTGGTAACTTGAATTGTTTGTAGTAGACTTATAAGCTGAATAATTGTTATTTTGCAGGCCTCATCTCTAAGTAGAATTCTGTCATCTCTTTGATGTGGTATGAAATTAGAAGAATTTATTTTTATCCATAAGAAAAAAACTTGAGATTTTCTAGGTCATTTCTAACACTGTCTTGTAATGAGTACTGCTTTTATAAAAACTTAGCAGTTTGGAAGCCCTCTTCATATGTAATTAACCAGAAGTGTTAATAAATACTGTTTAGTGTCTGTAATAATAGAATCTCCTAATTTTAGACAATAAGTAAGCATTCTCATTTGGAAAACTGTTTCGTTAGAAGACCAGTGACGACTATTTTTCTGTTGTTTCCTCAGGCTATGAAGGGAGAGAAAGGAATTGGTGGAGCAGTCACAGCCACAGATGGACTAAGTGAAGAACTTACGGAGGAGGCATTTAGTAAGCAGTGTTGTGATACAAGGCGTGTAGATTGTTAGCGGTGATTCATTCTACACATCTCTAGTGGTATTTTTGGAATATCAACCCTGAGTATTTTGACGTAGCCCTATTATGAATAGTTTTTTTTTTTTTAAGTTTATGCCCTCATGTTGGAATTCAGGGAGTAAGACATATAGAACATTTTAATTCTGCAGACATTGTAACTTGTCACTGATAGTTCTGATTTTCATAGCCCCCAGTTGTTGATGAAGAATCATGTGGATAGCAATATTGAAATTTGGGGCCAGCCGGTGGCATGGTAGTTAAGACAGTTGGATTCCACATGGCCAGCTGCATGGTTTGAGTCCCAGACCTGGCAGTTTGAAAAACGTGTGTGGCAGGGGGGTATGTATGCATGCCCAAAATCCTGAAAGGAGAAATGGAAAAGAAGGGATTGTGGCATGAGTATGCCTTATTGCGGTTGCTCTCTCACTTTCCTTCTCAGTCTGTCTTCAGTGAGCACATACTCCCTCTAGGAAAGTGAAAAATAAAAAAGGAACATTGAGGGTTTGGTTTTGATTTTGGGTTTTTTGAGACAGAATTTCTCCATAGGGCACGTGTGCTTCTTGGAGAGACAAAAAGCGAGAAGTCACCCCCCTACCCCCCGGGGAATGGCCATACCACAATCCCTTCTCCGTTCTCTTCTAGGGATCTTGGGCTCATACACACACATCCAGTGTGAGTTTTAAGCCACTGGGTCCAGGACTCAAACTACGGTAAACTACGTGGGAGTCCAGCAACATAACCATTAGCTGTCTTGTCTGCTGGTCCTGGAACATTGAGATGTTTATAATACGAAAGCTTGTGATTTAAATAAATTTGTGTGCAAGTTGTCTTTTTTAAAAATTGAGTGTCATATTGGTGAACTAAAAAGTCTGTGATATATTTCAATATGGGAAATATATATAAAATGTATATGTACAATACATGTAAAATACAGACTGCCAGGTTATGTAAGTGTTGCTCCCAGCTAAGCCACAGTGTGCTGTAGGTCTAACCACAAGTCAGCAACTCTGCTCCAGTCTCTGTGCAGGTTTGTACTTGGGCAATTAGCTAATGTACACTTCAAATAAAGAAAGATTCAGAAAATTGAGAAATACAGTAGGAAAAGTATAGTTACTGTGGAACTTTTTTTTAAAGAATGATTTTAACTTATTTATTTTAATTTGATCAGAGAGAGACTTAGTGAGAGAGAGGGAGGGAGGAAGGGAAAGTGAGAAAGCAAGTTGCCAGGTCTGGGACTCGAACCTCAGTTGGCAATGTGGGAATTCAGCACCTTGTAGAACATTTTTAAAATGAGAAATTTGGGGAGGTTATGGTTTTGTGTAAGAGTACATCATTGATATGTGGCGGAATTGTAGTGACATGTTAATGGCACAACTTTAAGGTTTGGGCCAAGAAAGTAGATGGGACTGTCTCTCCTCTAACTTTTTCTTTCCTTTTTCTTTTAGCTAACCAGTTACCAGCTGGCTTAATAACTGCAGATGGTCAACAACAAAATGTTATGGTTTATACAACATCATATCAACAGGTACAGGACCTTCTTTGTATTTTAAGCTATAGCAAAATTAGATTATATCCATTGGTTTTTATCACAGGTAGTTAAGTTCAACACATTATTATTAAGGGCCTGATATATTTTTTTTTTTTTTGGAGAGATTTTCACTGTAGGGCGCGTGCACTCGCCAGACAGACAGAGAGAAACATAGAGACAGAAAGCGAGAAATCACCCCTCAGGGGGGATGGTCACGCCGCAATCCCTTCTCCTCCATTCTCCTCTCGGGATCTTGGGCACGCACGCACACGCGCCCGGCGTGAGCTTTAAGCCACCGGGTCCAGGACACGAACCGCGGTCGACTACGTGGGAATCCAGCAACATAGCCATTACGCTAACTGCTGGTTCCCAGGGCCTGATAAATTTTTAATAGGTTATTAAAAATTCTATTTCCTCAAAATATGAGGGAACGTCCAAAAGTTCATAGAAAAATGGAATTTATCTTTATTTTTGGTGCAAACAATCTTGAAATCCATGCACAAAAGTTTTTCATAATGTATTTTCCATGAACTTTTTGAAGATTCATATATATAACTCTACAGTACTCTCTTAATGCTTAAAAATACATATACATATTTATATTTGTATCAAAGCTTTCTAGAAAGATGCACAAATTACTAAAAAGCTTCCCTAGGTAGAAGGAGTGGTGATCTGGGATGGAAAATAGACTTGTTTTCGTTCACTGAATCTTCGTAATATGCATAGGCTATTTTAGAACTATTTTTTCCTTAATTCTGCTCTATTTAAATTTTTTTATCTTAGATTTCTGGTGTTCAACAAATTCAGTTTTCATGATCTGAAGAAATGATGGGGTGGGAGTGTAGAGAAGAAAGAATGTGTACGATTCTGGAATGGAGACATCGGAAGGAAATGACTGGTGACAAGATGTCTCTGTGTATTAAATAGCTGTAATGTAGCTTCCTGATGCCTGACTAATTGAGGTGTTAATTCTGACTTAAGAATCTTTTTCATGAATGATTTTAAAGAAAAATTTGGATTTTAAAGGTATTAAAATATTTTTGTTTTGTACAAGTTTGTTGCTCTGTATGACTACTGTATGCATTGTATATTGCAAATTTATTACTGTCAGAGATTTGTAGACAGTTTCTTATTTTTATATTGAATCATATTACTTTTGTAATTCAAGTAAGCAGCTGGGTTTATTCATGATGTTTGCCCTTTTAATAAAATATAAGGGTAGAGTTCATTTTGAATGCAAGTTGCCTTTATTATAAATTTGAGTTTGTCTTGGTTATATAACATCTTGCATGATAACTAACCTAGGTAGATTTTTAGCATTTGCCATATTTATTAAAATTACTTTTTTTGGGGGGTAAGACATTCATAGCTTAAGCAGCACCATTTTTTAAAACATGTAATTTAGTAATTAAGTGTGAATGCAGAAGCAAATATTGTATGTCTGCCCTATTAAACCTGGTGCCCATTAACAGTGTTTACACTGTTCATTGTGCCTGTTAACATAGTTTTACTTATCGGAACTTTTGTCAAGACTAGATTTGCTTTTGAGTTTTACATTATTATGAGTGTTGGAATTCATTTAAGTTTAATGTCGTCTTAACACTCTTAAAATGGTGCCCTTTTCATTTGGCATATAATTATTTCAAAGCGTATCTTCAAGTACTATAATATCCTCTTCCAGAAGAGGAATTTTATGTCCTTATTTTACCTTTTTAATTGCAGTGTCAGATTTCCCATTATACTACGGGAACCAAGAAATGTCAGACATCATTGTGTGTACAAACCTTTTGCACGGGTGAGTGAGTGAAACAGAAAACAGTGAGTGCTATGAACAGTGTGAAGCAGAAGCCGCCAACTTCTCCTGTGCTGTCTTGATCTTTGCAATAAACTAAACTTAGATAATGTAACTTTGTATAATTTAGTAGTATGGGTTGTTCTTTTTCTAAAGTTAGGACTGTATTTTCTCATCTGTTTTTTTTGGTGATAATTAACATGAGGGTTTTTGTTTTTTGTTTTAAATATTAAAATTTGTTATTGTATAGTTTGCCTAAAAGGAAGTTTGAGTGAATGTCATCTTTGGAGGACACTCAAATTTATAAGGTAGGAGCATGTTCCTAGGTATAGGCCAAACAGAAACATTGACCTTGCTGGAAGGAGCCTTTGAGGCATATTTTGGCTACTCTAAAGTTATTAACTCGCTCACCTCTTATTCCCCCTACCATTTAAAAAATAATCTTGTTATAGAAAATTCAAATAGAAAAAAATGAGCTAAGCAAAATCACCTATTAATACCATCTTATGTTGAATAACCAATGTTAATATTTTGATAAATATCATTTGTCCTTTTACTTTGCTAAATATGTATATTTTTATAAAAATGGGCTCATATTGTGCATAATGTTTTGTAACCTGCTCTTTTCACTTTACAATATATTGTGAACATCTTTCCCATGTCGTGCATAGTCTTCTGCATCATTTTTATTGGTTTATTCTGTTGTAAGGCTGAATCATAATTTATTTGACCTTCTATTGGACATTTTTGACTATTTTCATCTTTCCACAGTTATAAACACTTCACTGAATCTTGTATACATCATGACTGTTTTCTTAAAATAAACTCTTGAAGTAGAATTGTTTGGTTACCGGATATGCACATTTTTAAGGCTTCTCCTACTTACGTATGGGTATATTTTTGAAATATTTTTCCCTTTGATCCAGGCAGTATGTCACTATATAATTGATAAAAGCACTTGGTCTTTGCTTATCAAATTCTTTCTCTAAAATTAGTTTAAAAATTGGGTTATGTTTGAGTAGAGAATCAAGATAAAAAGAAACTTGACAGTTTAAACATTTAAATCAGTATATAACAAAACAAATTTCTAAACTTTATAATCTGCTGCTAGTACTAAGCAGGGCTTCAGAGTAGGTAAAACCAGGTCTCCTTTTGGTTTTCTGCCCTTTCTACTCTGATGGGAGAGAAGACGGCCACTGTGTGTACGTCAGACACACGTCAGGCACACGCACACGAGAGTTAATGTTGGCTTCTTACTTGGCCTCTGTTGCGTTTAATTGAGTGTCACATTTTCTCCCCTGGAACTTAAGTGTGTAAGCTTCTCTGTTAAGCTAAACATGTTTTTCTAAATAATTTTATAAAACTACTCTTGTAGGTATCTAAAGGAGAAACGGGTTCAGTGACTGTCATTGGTAGAAGGTACTTCATTAGGTTCTGTCCATGCTTTTACTACCTCATTATACCAGGGATGCTTTAGTCCAGAAAGGTTTTGCTTTGGTTTTGGTTTTGGTTTTCTAAAGGGACCTTCCCAATGTCATGCACTGTGGTATGGTAAGTTGGTGTGTGAAGCTATTTGTAATTTTTTTTTTCTTCCTACAGTATATTATCTATGCAGTGTTTTCCTTTCTTCAAAACCAAGTCTTAACTACCTGTTTTCCAGATTGCCTTTGTGGGTAAAAGGTGTACCAAATACCTTTAATAATTCTAATCGAACGTAATTATGAGGGTCCAACTAAAAGAATTTCTGCAGCAGTAGCAATTAGGCATCAAAAATGATCTTTTTTTTAAAAAAAGGTTTCTGCCATTTGCCAATGAACTCTTGCAATGCAAGATTTAAAAAGTATTTTTTTCTTAGGGGAAGTTATTAACAATTCAAAATAAGATACCATGTGTTGGGACCAGTAGGTGGCATGGTGGTTAAGGCACTGGACACTCCCACGTGGTTGACCAGGGTTCGAGTCCTGGACCTGGTGGCTTGCTTTCTCACTTTCCCCCTCTCTCTCTCTCTCTGTGTCTTTTTCTGGTCAAAATAAAATAAATGAAAAATAAAATTAAATAATTAATTTTAAAAAAGATACCATTTGTTGTTTTATTTGCTAAAGTATGCCCTGAATCACTAAAATTAAGTGGTACCAGGTAAGATTGAATCAAGAATGAATCTATTTTTTGGTCTCTCTGAATTAGGCAGCTTACATATTAATGTGTATAAATTAATAATTTCTGTAGATTGACTTTAAACTCACATTAAATCATATAGTGTGCTCATGAATGAAAAAAATGGAGACTTCTGTTTGTCAGGTAGCTGTACTACACTGTCTGACAAATACTCAGTTTTAATGTGTGGTTTCTTTTAGAGCTGGGAATGCTGCCTTTGCTTACTTTACAAGTGTAGCCCCCTCTTACGCTCTGACCACCCTGAACTCCTCTTGGTTCCTGTGCCGAGTTCTTTGCCTCCCTCGTCCCCCTACCATTGGCCTTAAAGACATATACATACACTTCCCTCTGCCTAGAACATGCTTTCTCTTACTCTGCCTAGCTAAGTCTCATTAGTCCTTCAGGTCTCAGCTTAAACTTTATCAGGAAAGCCTTTCAAACGTTTGTTAAAACATTGTACTGATCACCAAATACAGAAAACAGCACAGCCACGCGGAGTAGGTGTGTAGCAGCCTTTGTGCTGGCTAAGACATTTCTCTTCAGGGTCTGATTTTTTTCTTGTACCTAAAAACCCTAAGGCAGAATCCCTTCAAATCACGGCCCACAGGTGGCACTGACGGATTAATTTTGGTTTCTGTTCCTTGTGTTTAAAGATACAAGCTAATCTAACAGTGCCTCACAGCTCCCTGCCTCTACTCCAGAGGCTGTTCCTTTTGCACTGCAGATACCTGTGCCGAGCAATGAGATTATCATAAGAACTCCTATGACAAAGTTAGTGCCAACAAGTGTACCAAATAAGAATATAAGCCACTAAAATACGGGTTCGCACTGTGGAAACTTTAATTGCCTTGTATTCATTTTAGAGATGCAAATTACAAGTCAGTAGGTAATTCCTCCATCTTTCCCCAAAACGCAGTGATTACATAATTGACATCGCAGCATAAACTTCTGCCTCTTTAAAGTTATAATTTAGATCTTCCCTGACTGTCCTCTAAGAGCAAGCAGCAACGTGTTTGTGTTTTACTTCTGCACCTGTGTTCTGGGGCTCAATTTCAGAGTACATCTAAATGAAGGATATTTCTGAACCTTGAACACTGGCTGGTTGGTTGAAAACAAGTTGCTGGGCAAAGACAAGTCATAACAGAATCTGCCTTTCAGCCAGGACAGGTATGCCACGGAGGCTCATTCAGGCATATATAATTCCCAATTGAGGTTTACAAGAAACAAAATCCAAATCCTGTTTTCAGACCAAGCAGTCATTAATTGAAGAACACAAAGGAGTGCTGTCTGGGCATTTAAGGAAATAGAGCCATTCCCTACTTTGGAGGGAGAATTTTATCTTTCTATAACAAATGGTTTCTTTCTGAACATTTTTAACCTTGCGAGTATTAACAGCAGTCCCCACACTATATCCTAAGAGTGGTATCTTGCAGGACAGTCCAAAGGAGAGAACTAGGCATCCGATAATTCTGTACAGATTACCAAGTACCAGGTTTCTGACTCACATCCAGAGCAAACTAAAATTGTAATCTAGACTTCGTTTAGTAAGACAGCCTAGGTACCCTAACTAATATATACTAACGTAAAAATGATAGAAAATAACATACAAAAATCAGTGAGTTGACATGAAAGCCAAGGAATTTCCAGAATTCCAAAACTGAAGTAAAAATAGGAAACCTGTGAGGTAGTTCCATACCAAAGTCTGCTTTTGCCCTGAGGTCTTTGAACTAGCAGTAGAAGGACACAGCCTAAAGCTTACCTGGGGTAGAAGTGTTTAATAGCGTCATCACAGAGAAGCAGGGAGCATGGGCCCTTTGCCCATCTTGATTTTGGAACTGGGTGAAGAAGAATAAGCTACTGCCATCCTCAAATTCATAATTCTAGGCCATCCCTTAAGGTTTGTTATCTGAAATCCAGAACCATCAAGCTGCTAACTTAGTGGTCTCAGATTGGTAGTCCCTGGGTGTCTGGCAGAGCAAACAAATTCTTCAAGAGATTTCTATTTCAGTCTGTGTCCAGAACATTCTTAATTGCTAAGGGAAAAAAGATAACACAAACTTAAGGGCAGACGGCACCATGGATGAAAAATAAAGTAAGTAACAGATAATAGAATTATCCACAAAGATTTATTAGTGTTAACACAGAGAAAAATAGTGCTATTTAATGAAATAGAAGCATATTACAAGATTATATAGGAAACAAATGGTATGTAAACCAACAGAACTTGTGAGAAAAACTGTATATAAATATATATATGTGTATACACATGCACAAACCCATACATATGTACATACATATATACACTGAACATAAAAACCCAACAAATAGGAAAGAAAAGAAGAAGAAAATGAAAAAAGACAAGGTAAGAAGGGGCGAGAGGGGGTCCAGCAGATGGCGTAATGGTTACAGTGCTGAACTCCCACATGGCCAACCTCGGTTCAAGTTCTAGACCCAGAGGCTTGAAACTCACACCAGGGGTATGTGGGTGTGCATACACAAAATCCTGAGAGGATAATGGAAGAAAAGGGATTGTGGTGTGGCCAGCCCCCAGGGGGTGATTTCTTACTTTCTGACTGGTGATTGCACACGCCCTATACAGAAATCTCAAAACAAGAGAAGGGGTGAGTGGGACTAGCAGGTGGCATGGTAGTTAAGGTACTGGAATCCCACATAGTTGACCGTGGTTCAAGTCCCAGACCCTTTATTTATATATAAATATTTATATTATAATTTATATATATAATATAAATATATATATATATTCGCCCTATACAGAAATCTCAAAACAAGAGAAGGGGTGAGTGGGACTAGCAGGTGGCATGGTAGTTAAGGTACTGGAATCCCACATAGTTGACCGTGGTTCAAGTCCCAGACCCTTTATTTATATATAAATATTTATATTATAATTTATATATATAATATAAATATATATATATATTTATACTTCAACTGTGGTCGACTACATGGGAGTCCGGCAACATAGCCATTACACTATCTGCTGGTCCCTGATAAATACATATTTTTTAAAGTGAGTGAACGAAAAGGCATAATTTATGAAGACGACTTAGGATAAATACAACAGGGACCAGCAGATGGTGTATAGTTATGTCACTGGACTCCCACATAATCAACCATGGTTTGAGTCCCAGACTCGATGGTTTAAAATTCATACTGGGTATATGCGTGCCCAAAATCCTGAGAGGAAAATGGAGGAAAAGGGATTGCAGCATGGTCATCTCCCCTGGGTGGGGTGGGGTGGGGTGGTTTCTTGCTTCCTGTTCCTCTCCAGTGAGTGCACACACCCTATGGCAAAAATCTCTCTTAAAAAAAATACAACTGTATTTATTATTATTAATCCCCCCAAATATAAAAGGATTAAATTATCCAGTTAAAAAGATTTCCTCTGGGGAACCAGCAGGTGGCATGGTGGTTAAGGCACTAGACTTCCCACATGGCTGACCACAGTTTGACTCCTGGACCTGGCAACTGCTCGCTCGCTCTCTCTGTGTGTGTGTGTGTGTGTGTGTGTGTGTGTGTGTGTGTGTGTGTCTGGTCAAGTTAAAATAAATGAATGAATAAATGAAATTAAACGAAATAGTTCTTTTAAAAAAAAATTTCTTGGGACCAGCAGTTAGCGTAATGGCTGTTGCTGGACTCCCACATAGTCGACCGCCGTTCGAGTCCC